TTGTTTGAATTTTATTTTCTTTTGACAATTCTAACTCACAATTAATTGTTATTAATGAACTAGTCTTTTGTTTCTCTATACTAGGGCAATTATTCTTTTGATTATTTTTGTCTAGAAAACATGTCATTAAAATAAAAGTCTATCTATTTTACTATGTAACTTTCTACTTGTTTAGTTAATGTTTTTTGTACTAATTGTAATTTTTGCACTTTTAATTTTAATTGCTCAATAATTTCTAATGACTGGAGTTTTATTTGTTTTGGCTTACTATCTATAAGATCTATGAGTTCTTTTATTTCTTTCTTACTAGGAAATCTTTGGATTAATCTCTTATGATGGTCCAAAATTGTTTCCTTGAACATAGAAAACACTTAGAAATTATTTTAAAAGAATTTATTGATAATGGTATAGTTATAAGTAGGAATAAAGTAGAACTTGAAAAACAAGATATAGAATTCTTAGGTATGTATATTAAGTCAGGAACAATACAATTACAAGAGCACATAGCTAAAACGGATATTTGGGAACTTCTTGCTCGGAAGTGGAGGTATGTACTTCATCTATGGTTCTTAGTATTTGATTTCTTTTCCATGAGATCTATTTTCAGAAATTGCCTTTTATTCATTTTGGATGCATATGTGTCTTACATTTTGATTTCTTTACCTAACTTCATTCACATATGTGGGGCAAGAGTGCAACCCTAGGTTTTGTGAGAAAATTGAGAGTTATCCAGTGAGGCCTAAAGTCAAGGAGAATTTGTACACACATCGAGTGTGGGTATCTTTAAGTTCGAGTGCTTGGAGTATTGGCTTTACACTTTTTCACTATAATGCATTTTATTTGTAGTGACATAACTTTAGTTTTTGAATTGTGATTGACATTCATTGGTTATTATTAGTTTGTTGGAAGTATTGCTTTAACGAATTTGTTTGCAAGGAACGTTTGTGGGTGTCATGATTGGTAAACCCTCAGGAGACACAACTCCTCCTACTAGGGACACCTAGAGCTTTAAAGGCTTGTGACACATGCTAAGTGCCATCGAGATTACCTGTGAAAGTGATTTAGTTTAGTTTGTTTGTTTTAATTTATTTTTATTTTTAGTTTTGATCGAGGACTAGCAAAAGATAGGTTTGGGGGTATTTGATAAGTCTATATTTTATATATATATATATTTTATGACTCCTTTGCTTATTTATTTATTAATTTTCTTGGATTAAATTGGTTGGTTTAATTGATTTTGTGAGATTTGTGAAGGAATTGTGAAATAGGAGAAAGTGTGCTAAAAAGGGGAAGAAGATGAAGATTGAAGTTTAATTAAAAAGAAGCCAAGTCATTCCTTTTGTTGCAAGGAATGTTGTCAAATTTCCTAGTTCAAAATGGTTCAAGTCTTATCAAGTCAAAAAAGGAGAAATAAAGAAGACCCTATTTTAGAAGGAATCCTACTTTTATAATAATTGTAATTATATCTTAGATAAGTAGGATTTGTAGGAGTATTATAAATAGGGAGTTTAGGTCATTAATCAGGAGCATCCTCCATCATCTACCCTCAAATTCCTACACATTCATACTCATAGCCGAAACACTCAAAGGAGAGAGAGAGTTTTAGAGAGACAAAGAAGACGACCTAGAGCTAGAGTTGCTGTCGTGCAAAGATGAAATCTTCAATTGGTTTTTTCTTTCCTATGATACTATTTATCATGGTTTTTATTAAAGTTGTCATGAACTAATTTCTTTTTGCTAGGGCTACGATGTAGCCTAGCCATGAATACTCAATTACTTTAGTCAATGTTAATTCCAAGTATTTTTCCATGTTGAGTATCTATTACCATGCTTAATGCTTTGAATGTTTGGCCAACATTTAATTGTTTTGATGCTAAACACACCATAATCGTTTATTTTATAATGATTTACTACAATATTTTACATTTTATACATTGGATGGTAAGATACATGAGTGACTTAGTACCATATAGAGTTCCTATGAGGTTCAAAATTTTCATTGTCTTCATCATCTCTATGTGTAGAGTATGTCTGCTGTGAAGATTAGTTATCAAATGTTAAATTCCTAAAATAATTTTGCATCTAATTGTTAACATGTCACCCATATGGATATGAGATTGGTTGACATTGCGTCATAAGCAAAATCATTTGAAGGGTAGGGAAAGGGTTGACATGTCACCCATATGGATATGAGCTACTTGATTTCATCCCAAAAGGCATGGGATATGAAGGTAGGGAAAGGGCTGGTTTTGTGTGTAACAAAGTCATCAGCAGTGTGGTGGTTAAGGCGTTGAAGGAAGAATGGAAGTGGCACGTGTTTGAATCTCCATGTGCGTGCTCGCATATAAGCCCTTGTCGTTATTTTTTTTTTCTATTCCATGTTCCATATCGCAATATATTGACCAAATGTTGATGATAATTGAAGAATATTATTATTGTCGAAATTTCCCCTAAATTTCCACGATATTATTGATATTTATACGATAAGTACACATGTTCCAAAATATCCCCTATCCGATATTATCGATATTTCAGTCCTTGATCCTCATCACCTACTTGGTTTTTTTATTACTCAATCTCCTCTGTCTGACTAGTGTAAACAAAAAAAAAAAGTAAAAAAGTAAAAAAAATAAATAAATAGTTTTTTACTTTTTTCACTAAAAAAAAAAGAAAATTATGGAGAATAAAGAAAAGAAGGAAATAATATTCCAAAACCTTAATGATGATGTTGGAAGCCATCCAATTTGCCTATAAATAGGCTTCCAATTGCTTAGTAGAACACACCAACGGAGAATAGAGGAAAGAAAGGAAGAGAGAAAGGAAAAGTGAGAGGAAAGAAGAGAGAGTGTGAAATTGGAGTGTTAGTGAGTTCTATCTGAGAGAATTCTGTCAGTGTAAACACCAGAAAAGCAACTATAATTCTACTCCCAATATTCAGTGGTACTTTTCATACTCTGATTATTTTATTTTTATAACACGTTATCAGCACGATAGTCTCTCCTCTTGCTTCTAAATTTTATAGCTCAACACTATGTGGTTATTTCTCTGTCTCCTCTCTGTCATATGTCTCCTCTCACTTTACTACTATGACAACATGCAAACTTCCTTTTTTGTATTTTCACAATTTTTATGTTGTTTCATCCATATTTGTTTAATTTATTTTTTTGTACTGTAATTTGGAATGGTGTGGTTTTATACCCCATCCTATTATTTTATGGTAGTGTAATTTCATTAGCATCACATTGTAACACATATTATCATAATAAAAATGATGGTGTGATCTTAAAACTCATCTTGTTATATCTTGAATAGTGGCGCAGTTATATTGCCCACAATATATAATATGTGGTGGTTTTATCCCCACATTTATTGTATGATTTAGGTTTATTACCCATACAGCAGTATTTATTTAAAAGTGTAGCGCGGGTTTATCATCCACATAACTGCCTTTACTTTTTATTTAAAAGTATGGAGTAGAATTAGTGCCCATATAAGCACTTTTACTTTATCACACATTTACTTTATTATTTAAAGTATGGTGCGGGATTAACGTCCATACATGAAGCAATTTAATTTATGAATTTATTTACCACACATTTACATTTATTTAAAGCATTCTGCGGGATTATTGTCTATATCAGCAATTTATTTACAAGCAATTTAATTTATAAATTTATTTTACCATACATTTACATTTAAATAAAGTATGGTGCGAGATTATCGTCCATACCAGCAATTTATTTACAAGCAATTTATAACAATTTATTTTATGAATTAATTGCGTGATATGATGAGTTTTAACGCATACAGAGATCAGGACTAGAAGTTCCTTGATCCTCATCATACAACTACATCGGGACCTGAAGATTTGATGATGATAATGATATGAGTGCTGGCAGTCTCTCTGGTACTATATTTGTAAACAAGAGATCAAACCTGAAGATTCTTGATCATTGACATGTAAATAAGGACCTGGAGTTCCTTAATATTGTAATAGTATCGTATTGGTTAATAGTGCCGTATAAATGAATAGTAATTGTAATGGCAAATGTACGGTATGCATGAATAGACACGTATTCATGACTGGATGAATAGTATCGTATACATGAATAGTGACATATACATATATATTAACCATTTTGGGTAAACCATCACTATATACAAAAGGGAACCTGCAGTTCCTTAAACTCGCAGATGAGCAATTAAATGAGAAGTCAGAAGCTCCTCAAAACATGGACAATTATGTAAGGGCCTAAAGTCCCGAAATATGTATGGGAAATTATAAAAAAGTCCATACCATGAAAATATGCGATTTTGGCATGAAGTTCAAAATCTGACAATATTGAGAACTTAAAGTTCCAATAGTTAAATGGACAACCCTTGAGGTATTATTGCAAATTGTGGAACACCACATATTTCTTTGGCATAAGAAAATGATGAATTTAATAAAGTTTGATTATGTTATAATCGACACCTCAAGAAATATATTTTGTGAATTCCGGTTGTTAAGAATACACCGTGAAATGAATAATATCAGGATAAACCACAAAGGATGAATTGAGGCTCCCCACATATTTTATTATTATTATATGATATGGGCCGAAAACCCATGGATCCATATATATAAGAAATCCTTAACCTGAAGTTTTGGGTATATAGTAGTTAATGCTCTTCACTAATATATTGCATTATTATCATGGCTTTTACTCAATTTATATTTCATGCCCATTTGAAAAAGGCAAATAAATTTTCGAGTCGTGTTTATCCCGGGCAAGAAGTTCTGGACTCACATGCATTGAAATGTGTAATTTAAGAGATTTGATGTGGTTATTTGAACTATAAGGCACAAGGTTCCAAACCGTCATTTTGAAAAGACGTAAAAACCACAAGTGCAAGTTTAAGAATTTACCCAATTATTATAACAGGAAAGGAGTATACAACAGATAGATTCTTTTCACCTGCAAGGAAGCAGCAGGCTCTATAAAATCTATAAAATTCCATTATATTCTGGAAGCCTCTGAAGGAAGAGGACAGCACCTCTTAAGCTTAGTTATGAGCCTCTTGTGGTCTCCCAGAATATTTTCATCGGAAATCTGTAGCATGTCAAGCCTTGTCCGTGTATCAATGGAGTATGAACTCACCAGTTTCAAGAAGGCCTTATTTTTCTCTTTATGTATCTCAATCTCTTGTTGAGACTCATGAAGCATTCTTTGAAGAGACAAATTTTCAGTGTTTAGCTCTTGAATCTCGTTTTCCTTGGCACGCAAACGATCAGCCATGTTAGAAACAGAAGCAGCACTCTGAATGCTAAAAGCCATTGAGTCATCAATAACCTCTTCGTCAGACTTTCCTATTAACAGTATTTCATCCATAGGAGTGAGGAAATTCCTAGCTACTATGATAGCAATCATATTATTCATCATCACATAATCATTAACCATGAGATAATGATTTTGGGATACAAAGGATGGACGCCAGACAATTTTGGGATTTTAGGTTGTTTTGGGAGCAACATTTAAATCGAGATGCTTTGGGGGAGAAGAAGAGAAAGCCATTTTAAAAGGGTTTAGAGGAAAGTCTTAGAAAAGATGAATTTTCAGAAAATGAAAGGAAGTTGAGTTGAAACACAGTTACTCCAATTAGGCCTTACAAAGGCAATATCTATAGATGAAAATGTGGCACCGTTTCCAGGATCCCAATATTTTCTCGAATCCCCATATTCTCTTTTTCTATTCAAAATTTCAAAACTTCACGTGGCCTCCATTAATGTCTGTCAGAACTTTAAGGGTTCTCAAGGACTATTTTTGTAAAAGCCGCTCTTGCTTTACATATTTCACAGAGTTACTTTTTCAAAAGCATCTCGAGAACCTCACAAATTTCCATAGTTAATTTGAGATTCACCGGATCAAATTGTTCCTCTAATTTGTATATAAATATGTTACTAACGAAATTTTCTTTACAGAATACATCCAGTTTTCTCCAACTTTTTCCATATCTAGTGATGCAATATCCACTTGTTTTTCCTATAAGTGAGAGCTCGATGCGCTTGAGAAGCGAAACTATCTCTGATCATCCATTCAGGAAGCGAGACTATCCATAATCACGTTTCAGCTAGATCAGGGAACTGTAAGGACGACCACATGCTCTAATCTCTTGAAGTTCTTAACATGTAGTGAACGTAACACTGAGGGTTAATTTATTTTTTTTTGACAGAGATAGAAGAATTGTTATTTTTGCTCTTGCAGGATAACTAGATCATCAAGCATTACATTGTATTTGCTGAGCCGATATGAGCTTGAATGATATTTGAGCAAAGTTTCTCCCACCTAAGGATGTAAGCAATACTTGCATTATTTCATGCTTGTACTCTTATTTTGATATTTTGTATGACATCCTTAAAGGTAACCAAATGGGGAGATAATGTCGTTCTAAAAGAACGCCATGCAAATGACCATTCTAGAATAATGGCTTGTATCATTCTGATATGTATTCATGAATTATTAATACAAATTTCATATATTGGAAGTTGAATACATTGATAATACACTGCTTAGATTAAAGTCCCATAAGAATAGAACATGGATATAGTAGTCTTGGAAGAACAATCCATTAACATGTCAATATTAATATGGTGCATGCCTAATGCGTAGCAAATTATATGGTTTAAAGTCCTAGAAGGACAATTAATTGACATGTATGTATTGATCTGTAGCATGCCTGCAGCATGACAGATATATGGGTTCTAAATATTCCAACTCTCTGAATGGAGATTATCTAAGCCCTACTATAAAATAATGCTCTATTGGAGGTTAAGATCCACATTCTAACATAATTCATCCTATAAGAGATGTCTGTCTGGAAAGAGACAATAAAAGCCCCTGAAGTGGCTTGGGTTCCCAAAATCAAAGAAATGTTCATAATTGATGCATGTGCTGACAAGACCCGACCCAAATTCCACTTTGGAATCTGTGTGGAACCCTATGCGTGTCATACACCTAGCAGGTGTCGGGCATAAATGTCCAGAATACCCCTCTGCCTTGAATCGGAATACGTCATCAAGTTCCAATATAACTTAATTGAACAAATTTTCAACACTTAATCTTGTGGCTGCACCTAGTAACTCTAGGCTACCTACGTACCCTTTCAAAGGGATCAAGCCATACGTAGTTCTTTCACTTTTCATAGTTGCACTTGTATCTCTTCATCAATTGTTATTTTTCAATGTAGTTTGCAAATCAAACCACTGATGTAATAACCCGATCCTAAAAATATTTAATTATTAATTTATTCAAGTAAAAGAAAATTCTACCTCGGGATTTAAAGGTTGAATTTTTTTTTATATGAAAGAATCTAGAAATTTTAGTAGTACCATTGCGTAGAGCACGTTGAGATGAGTCTGTAGATATGTAGTGGGCTCAAATCGGAGCTATAACGAAGAAGTTATGATCTACGGAAGCCTAGTGACATAATCGTAAATATTTCGAAGTCATTTTTAAAATAAAAAAACCTAGATCTCTCTCTCTCTCTCTCTCTCTCTCTCTCTCTCTCTCTCTCTCTTGTCTGTGCAGCGCCGCCGCGACCCCAGCAACTTCCAGCAGCAATTCTGGCCAACTCCGGCCGTTTCCGGCCACGATTTTGATCCCATTTTTTTTCGTCTCTCTCCTTTTTCCATACATACCCATATCTAGCCTTAATTCCAAGCGAGTAAATCAGAAAATCAAGCCAAAGTGAAGCCCAAAATCGGGATGTTTCAAACCGCCAGCTCTAACGAGTTTTCCAGCCACCACCAACCACCAATTGACTTCCAAAACACTCCCCTACTTCCCTTATGTGTTTTCCCTCAAAGACCCGACCCAATTTCAAGTAGAATTGGCAAATCCAAACCAAAAACTTTCTAGGTTTTTCAAAAGAGGAAATCGTTCGTTTGAGAGCTTTAAAGGTGGAATTGATCTTCGAGCACATGTATAAAGTTACTCCCTTTGATGTGCTTGATCTGTTGGTATGAATATTGGTCGACGGTTTGGAGTTTTCCGGTCGCTAAAATATTACTCTAGACACCCGTCGGCGTGGGATGTCAAGGTTGGGTTTTAGTCCTAAAATGATCCCCACATTGTCCAGAGCATGACGGTATGCTCGTATTTCAATTTGGTTACTGTTTGACTATCGATCAGACCGTTGGATCGACTTTATTTTCCAATATGTTGATCTAGGCACCTATAGGATTGTGTAGAATTTCGCGGATTGAGAATCTGAGACCCGGATACTCCGATTTAATAATACAAAGTTTAGGTTAAACGGTGACCGTCCGATCGGGCTATTGTGAGCAATCCGACCGTTCGATCCAGACCAAACTTGCAGGACGTGTTTAGTAAATTTTGTTGAACCTATGGGAACTCTTGAACTGTTAATCGGAGGTCGTGGAATTTAATCACATATTTAATCTCGGGTCTTTTCAAACCATTCCACCTGTCAGAACTGTTGAAAATGGGCCTAGGAACCTTCTTAAGTTACATACATGCACTTTTGAGGCCGGGGATCAGGGTTTTGATTAAATATTTGTGGTTGAATTGTTTTATTAATTAAATATTTTAATTCCTTAAATAGGTACTCATGCTTTATTGAACCCGCAGGAAGGACCGTCGAAGGGTCAGGCTAGCTCGGACGCACAGTGATTGGAATTTTGTTTTATAAATGAATTTTATGCAATAAAAGTTTATTTATTTTTCTTGAATGAATTATTGTGAATTATGCTTTCCGAGCAATTTGTTTGAATTCAAATATTTTTATTAAATTTTGTTTATATTTATTAAATGTGAATGGCTGGGAAAGTAGAAAAAGAAATAATAACAGGATTTAAGGTTTGAATGAGAAATAGTTCTATAATTTTTCCAAGATAGGTTTGTGTTTAAACCGCCATAGGTACCCAAAATGATGCATTCGGATAAACTGTTGTTGTTTGATATAATGATGTCCGCAAACATCCTAATTGCTTTCGTTGAGTCAGTGTGTGTTTGACAGTTGCCCCACGAGTCTTAGGAATATCTGGACCACTGAAGAGTGAGAAATCCGGCTCAGGTTGACCAAGTGTCCCTTAGTCTTGCGAGGATTGCAGCTCGGGCTGACTTTGTGTTACCGAGGCCTACGAAGATGTGTCGCGCATGGCTTAATTATTGTATGAATATAGAACATGGATATAAATGAATTTTAAATGTTTTGACAGTGGGGTTAGTATGTTGATATTCTATTTTTCCAAAACTTTCTTTTGTCCCTCACATTTCTTTTAATGTTTTGCGCCCCCGAGCATTAAGAGTGTACCAAAGCACCACCACTGGGCGATCATCACCAACCACTCCTCCTTTTTCTGCTATGTAGGATATTCTCATGTATTCGTACTACTTTTGTAAATTAACTGAATTAGCATGCTATGAAATTACCCTAGGATTTTCTATAAGGCCTGAGACTACAAAGATTTGATGTTGGATTGCGTGAATTCTAAAATTGTGCATGCTGAACGATTGTGGCTTATGAATTGAGTTTTGTACAGGAGAAATTTTTTAGTGAGGAGACTGCCGAATTTTCGGCAGAAGTCAAACCCCAAAGAAATTTTGAGTCTTAGTTAGAAGGGCATATTAGTCAAGTGTGCCCGGTATTTTCCAAGTGTCGGACACACGCAGGGTTCGGCACAGATTCCAAAGTGGAATTTAGGTAAAGTCCTGTCAACTGAAACTCAAGTAAGGGTTGTTGATGTTAGAACAATCTTCCTTAAGTTTCAGCTCTTACTTGAGTTTCAGTGGTTTGATTTGCAAATTACATTGAAAAATAACAATTGATGAAGATATACAAGTGCAACTGTGAAAAATGAAAGAACTACGTATGGCTTGATCCCTTTGAAAGGGTACATAGGCAACCTAGAGTTACTAGGTACAACCATAAGATCAAGTGTTAAAAATTTGTTCAGTTAAGTTTTATTGGAACTTGATAACATATTCATGTTGTTCTAAGAGTTGAGACCAGTTTCAGATGGCATAATGACTTATTTGGTATAAAGAGGTCTGAAACTTTTTAAAGTTATGTACCTAATGCATGCTGAACGACTGGGATTTGAATTTCAATTTTAACTGTATAGTTTTATAGGTGGAAAATTTATTGGGAAATGTCCTTTTTACAGGGGAAACTCTACCGGTTTTCCGGCAGAAGTTAAACCCTTAAGTGTGTTTTTCGTTTTGCGGTTCAGGGCAAGAGGGTTATTTTGGACATTTATGCTCGACACCTGCCAGGTGTAGGACACACATAGGGTTCGTCACAGATTCCAAAGTGAAATTTGGGTCGGGTCTAGTCATGCGCATCCACATGAGAATGGTGGGATCACGTTGTATTATTAAATGTCAACAATATCATTGGCCAAAAATGG